GCCAGGCTGGGCGGGTAGCAAGCGGGGGCCGTGGCGGCGGTGGCGGCGGCGGCGGGCAGGCGGGCGAGCGAGCGGGGGATGGGCGCCGCGTGGCGCGGACGGCCGGCCCCAACCCCCTCCGCTTCCCGCCCAGCGCCTCACGGACCGGGGGGAGGGGTCATTCTTCACATTCTTCACCCCGCCCCTCCCCCTGCTTCAATCAAACTTGGGCGGGGGAAGTCCCGCCCCCGGGCCGCGCCCATTGGCCCGCGCTGCCTCCCGCTGTGGCGTGACTGGCTCTGGGCACAGCTAGGTCTCCCTGACGTCACCTCCGCTATCAGGTTTGTGGGCCGGGGAGACCTTGGCCTTGGGGGCTGGGATGCAGGAGGAAGGTAGGAAGTGCGGGGGGAGGGCCGGCGCGGGCGGGCGCGGGCGGGCCCTGGGCTGGCTCGCTGCCCCTAATCCGCCCGGCCGGGCGCCGCCACGGTCCCGGAGCAGCTGTGCGGCCGGCTCCGCTGCGGCGGCCGTCCTTGGCGAGGGAGCGGGGCGGGCGGCGGGAGGAAGCGGGCTCCCGAGAGACGGGCTCGTGCGCGGCGACCTGGGCCACCGCCAGCGGCCGCAGCCCTGAGTCGGGGCTGGTCGCCCTGCAGGCGGGCCGGCTGGGGCCCGTCCCCGGCGCGCTCCGGTGAGGAATGCGTAACCTTTCTGTCCTTGGCCAGCAGTGGCCTTCTGTCTCCAACTTTTACAGTAGGGCCTGGCCCCCTGCCTTCCGTGTCAGGGGAGGGCGTGTGCTCCTTTCCAGCCCTTCTTTCTCGGATAGACTTCTCGCTCGCGAGAGGCTCGGCCGGCGGGAAGAGGCGGTGGGAGGCCGTGAGTGTTACGTTCCTGCCGCAAATGAGGAGACGATGAGTTTTCCTTTTTTAGCTTTGCTGGTAAATACTGCTGCCTTGGCCCTCGGTTCCTAAAGTGAAAAGCTCGGTTAGCAGTCCCCCGCACTTCCTTCTGTTGGCCTGAGAATCATGCAATAATGTAAGGAGATTTAGGGTCAAATTTTAGATTTGTATGTAGTTTAGAAAATAATCGTATCCAGGTTTTTGTGCTGAATGGAGTTTAGGTTCATTTACAGTATGTTCAGGGAGTGTGTAGTTAAGGAAGTAAAAACTTGTAAGATACTTCGGGTTTTGTGAGGGTGTTTGATTTATTATACACAGTTGCTAAAAGTGTTGTCTTCAAACTTGTGAGTTTTTTGAGAGACAAACCTCTCCCATTTCTCCTGAATTCAGTTATAATTAAATAGTATTTTTAAATGTGTTGCTTGGGTACAGGCAATTATGGTTGATAGTGGGAAAAGTAATGCGTTTGGGTAGTTATTTTGCAGTGATAGCTAGAAGATCCTTTTCTTCATGTTGAAAGGGGCTGTGGGTCCTTCCCTCTTCACTAAATTGAAGCTCTGTTAAATTTGAGAGACTGGAGAATTAGGCAGGTGTGAGGGAAACAAAACACCTGTTCAGAAATGAGAGGAAATTTGCAAACGACGGAATTCAGACTTCTAGAATGAAGAGATCAGTATTATACAAGGTAGTCTCAAATGGTTAACTCCTTAAGGGCATTTTATTTTTATCACGAACTAGTATTTCTTGCTTTAGAGTACAGCACACTAGATATTTGTGCTTTTTTTTTTTTCAATAGCTAATACAGTAATAGCTTTACTAATAGTGGGAATTGTTTTGTATTGAGAGCTCTACACCATTGTTTCAAACTGTAGGTCTTGACTCCTTGGGTCATGAAATCTCTTCAGCGGCTGGTAGCCAGAATTTTAAAAAACTAGAATAGAAAATATTAGTGTGTTACATGAAACTTGATTCAGTTCTGTGCATATATATTTTTTTCCCCCGAAATGTCTTTTTCTGAGGGTGTCAAAAAGGTTTGAAAGACAGTACCTCTCAAAGATATTTTTCTCCCTTATAGGACTGGTCTTCTGCAAGGAATACTAAAAGCCCTGTTCATTTATATTTGGTGGAGGGTGGTCCCCTTAACTCTTACTTTCAGGAGTTAGGAAAATAGATTTGTCACCAATGACCTGATACGTTTTAATCATTTAGAATTTTTAATATTCTGAGAAGCTTTTATTTAGACAGTAGGATCTCAGGATATTAATTCCAGTGATTTTTTTTTTTTTCCCCATGTCTAGATGAGAGTAGAATTTGGATCCCCAGTAATGAGTTGTCAACATTGCCTCATGTGACCTCAGGACTGGAGTAAAAGGAGGCCTGGTCACTCTTGCCCTTTGCCTGTATGGGTGTTCTAAGCATTGCACAATCACTTAAGAGTGGACTTCATTAAATAACCAGATAAAACGAGACTCCTGACCCCTTTTTTTGGTGCCAAATCTTTGAAATCTAGAGTGTATTTCCCGGTTGCAGCACATCTGGGCTAGTTGCATTATTGTGCTCAGGAGTGACAAGTGGCTGATGGCTACCGAATGAATAATGCAATTCTAGTGGATTGTGTATCTGCTTTTTAAAAATCAGCTTTCTCCGGGCGCCTGGGTGGCGCAGTCGGTTAAGTGTCCGACTTCAGCCAGGTCACGATCTCGCGGTCCGTGAGTTCGAGCCCCGCATCAGGCTCTTGGGCTGATGGCTCAGAGCCTGGAGCCTGTTTCCGATTCTGTGTCTCCCTCTCTCTCTCTGCCCCTCCCCCGTTCATGCTCTGTCTCTCTCTGTCCCAAAAATAAATA